CCCAGCGGTAATTATCAATCTTCCCTCCCTTTCAGTGCTGACGCACTAGTTTTTGCCATTTCCCTACAGGGCTCTGCTACTTTTTAGCAGCCAACATTGGACATCTGTCACACATACTGTATGTCATAACAAATAGATCATTATAAAAAAAAAAGCAAAGCTATAAATGTAGAAGAGCGGAAAACATTATGATGATTGTGCCTGGGTGTTAGTATAATACCATCAGAATAAATCCCAAATATATTTTTTGTTATTTTCTCTGTGAAACTGAGAAAGACTCATTAAAGACTCATTAAAATGTGCGAGTGCATCACACTGTCCCTTATGGGCTACGTCGTGTCGTCCGGGCAGCAGTACGTGGCAATACACGTAAAGCCTGGCAGCTCACGTGGCCATGGGATGCGCCTTGTTATGGAATTTGGGTCTCTATTTCGGCCGYGTATCCCTACTCTGCTTAGAAAGCRTCGCTGTGGGCGACTGTTCCYTGCGGAAGCAGCAGTCGTGGAAGAGGCTGCTCATTACCACCGTCCACCAGAGCTCTTTAGGAAGAGGATAACGAGGTGCCTGTCAGAGCTGACACAGGCGGAGCGGATCGTGCAGCGGGCACGTTGCCGCCGGCCCCGCGCTCCCTGTGAGTGGGTGCCGCTCGTTCCTGCAGGGATACCCTCAGCCGCCCATCCCGGCAGGGATACCCTCAGCCGTTCATCCCAGTAGGGATACCCTCAGCCGACCATTCCAGCAGGGATATCCTCAGCTACCCATCCTGGCAGGGATACCCTCAGCCACTCGTTCTGGCAGGGATATCCTCAGCTGCTTKGTAACAGAGCCCTGTGGTAGAGCTCCAGCGCTAGCATCCCTGTGGTTGTTCCCGCCAGGCATTTAAAACATAAGGCAGGTAGGAATTCTGCTTGGTGCAAAGGAAACAGGTAAGCGAGGTGCTGGAAATAAGAATACATAGAGAATGTACAGTATTATATACACACATGATACACAAATGCATATGTTAAAGTATAATAATTATATAATGGCAAATGGTAAAAATATGAGTTATAGGACATTTCACAGTCTTCGGGGCCATCCTTTCTTTTTTCCCCTCTCTTTCTTCAGCAATACTGTGCTGGCCTCTAGCACTGAGCAGGTAAGCTGACACTACACCTTTCAAACTTGACTTCCAAACCAAGTGTTTGTGGTGTATGCAGCTCGTACAGGACATCGTAGCTAGTCTGAGCTAACTGGCACTCAGTTCATTAAAAAAAAAAAAAAAAAAACAGAGATGGAGGTACATCTTGGAGTTTCATTTTGTTTTATTTATTTTCTTTGCTCAGTGTAAGTTGGACAGGGCAGCTGTCCGTGACCTGGAAGGTTTGGATTGAATAAGCCTGTGACTGTTATGTAATTAGCTGAGATTGAGGTGTTTGTTTCTTTCCCGTCACAAAACTATTTTCCATTTGGCTGTTTACCATCACTCTGCAGTTTTCAAACAGCTTAWTCTGAGTGAGGAATAAAGGCAGCCTTGAAGGACTTTATTTTGGGAAGCAGTGACACTGAAAGAAACTGAAAGGGCCAGGCACATAAAGAGTCAGCATGAACTCATGTGTGTAGAGGGGTACTCAGGAGCTCCCAAAATTCCAGGCTTGGTTGGAGGATATTGAGAATGGGGGGAGTCGTGTTGTCCGTATGTGCAGCACCGGTGTCAAATGCATGTTCAGTTCCTGTATTCAAGGTTTAAAACAGCATCTGCAATTGAAAGGAGCTGTGGAAGAGCCTGAAGATTTGTCAAAATGAGATTCAATAAACTCAACCTCGATAGCTTGTGCAGCAGGAGGTTTTGATAGCTCAGGGGAGCAGAACAGTATCTCTTAGCTGCAAACAAAATCACTGGAAATACAATGCACTTTGTGAAGGTGAGGAGCAGCAGCTCTCATAGGGAGCCATTTGCCTACAAGTGCAGTGGATTTCTCATCTCCCCAGATGATGTTTTAGTTCCAGCGAGAGTTCAGGTTTGAAGGAAGAATCGCTAGGCAAACCTGTATGAACCCTGCTGTCCATGAGGTCTGGCTAAATATATAGATAAATAAATGTTCCTTACGTCCTTATGATACCTCATGTCTCAAAAAAATCAATGGCTTTCCTTTTTGAGTTTAAATCAAAACTGCAATAATGTAATTAAAGACATTTAGGTTTCTAGATTAGCTAACATTTTATGAGAGTAAGATACATGCAAATTTTGGTTAATAAGTGAGGTTAAAAATATATTATGATAATAATAAATATATTAAATACATTTAATAAACATATTAACTTTATATTATATATTAACTATATAAATTAAATAAATGCATTAAATTAATATATAAATTATAAAAATATGATATATGAGGAATTTAATCAGAAGTTTGCGTTCATTGGAAGAAAGTATCTGGAGAGTGATCTTTTTACATGAGAGTAATTGAACACTGTTTGCAATTTCTGTGTATTTCTTGCAGGTTTTGTAGCACATTATAAACAATGTTGAAGACTTGCAGAGTGCTGTCTCTGCTAGAGTGAATTTTATTTATCATGATGAATAGGGGTGAGCGGAAAGAAATCTCTCTGCTCAGTTGGCTGTATGGCCATGTTTGTTTTCATGTTGTAAATAGCAACATCCACGGAGTTACCAAGAGTCCTCCAGGCTGCGTGCATTCCTCTCCAGAAAGAAGCTGTTTGTACCTAATGCCCTGGAGAAATTTTTTTTTGAAAACACATCATATTTGTGCAAATATGAGCCCCTGCAAGATGCTAAAATATTTAAAACTTAGTGAGCTAGATAATTAACATTTTGCCTTATTTGTGCCTCTGAAACCTTCTGTTTTCATGTCTTTTAGTAAGCATCTTTTTGAAAATGTCAAGCACTGTGAAATGGAAGAGAGTGGCCATTGCGACTTCCTATTAGTTAAACATCATAATAAAATAAGTTGCTTCCTGCTGCATTCCATCTAGGTCTTGAAAGCAGGGCTGACAGTGAGGTCATGTGCAACACCGTTACAATGCAAAGTCGTGGCAACCTTGAATTTGGAGCAAAAAGAGAAGAGAAGTAAGCAGCGGGTCGGAACTGGCCTGTAACGGGGCCGTGCCAGGCGCCACGTGAGCTGCTTTGGGTGCAGGGAGCCCACGCACGCACCCTGCACAGGGCACTGGCCTCCAAAACGGGAGCCCACCAGCTTCTCTTCACTACTCCAACATGGGCTGCCACAAACCCTTTATACCTTTCACAGAACTATTGCAAGTTTTATCTCTTTCCTTAACCTAGTCTGAGAGCTGAGCTAAAAGGACGTAGATATTTTATTTCAGATTTGCATGCTCCACTTTACCTCACTTCAAAGTTTAACCCCTAATAGGAGGTTGTCTCTTGCTTTCATTGCAGTATTCTCTATTATTTGTATAAAACACCTATCTATCTCTATTATTTTTATAAAACACCTTCACTTCAATCACATTTTTAAGCCTCGTAATTCGGAGGGAGGGCAGTGGAGAGGGAGAGAGCCAAACCCTGAAAGCTGCTGAGGACCAAGTGCGCTCCTATTTTTCAGTGAACATAAGTCTCTTCTCTGACTTTCTCAACAGCCTGATCATTACACTGCTATATAGCAGATGGACGTGACAGAGGGTGAGCTTTGGCAGCACCGTGAGGCAGATATCAGCTTTGCTCTGGCCATCTCCAAGCGAGAGACAAGCACTCCAGCAGAATTTCAAGCTGCTACTTCCAGTTTATTTTGGGGGTCTTTTTTTAGGTGCCTGTTACGGTGCTATTTGTAAATGTGACACACAGACAACCAGTTGCTCAACATAGTACTGTTGTCTTATTTAAATATATGTCAAATATTATATATTTATGTATTTTATTGCGGGTTTTTTTTAAGTTAAACTGGATTAATGTTCTTAGTTTGCCAACATTAATGGGGTATAATACTAAGAAAGTCTATAGAAATAAAATATTGTTCTCAGGTTGTTATTTTGTTTTAGGAAGAAATATTATAGTTGTATCCACTTAGAAAGAAATAAAAAAGAAGTGAATAGTGTGTGAGCTTCATCAGAAACTTTATATAATTAGGAAATTCTAATGTAAAATAAATTTGGGGAAGAATGTAATATTTTGAAGTCTAGAAGTCAAAAACTATTGTCATGTCATTGATCACTGCAGATAAAATGTAAGGTTTATTTTCACTTTTTTTTCCCAGAAATAATATTAGTATTATGTCTTTGGTATTTCTCTGAGAAATAGCATATCTTTGAAGTCCATAAAATTGTATGTTGATGTAAAACTATGCAACTCTCGTATCTATATCCTGAATTGACACATGAAAACTCAACTGCCTACACAGAACACATGTTTCAGCAATAAATCAGAATATATGCATATATGGGGAAAAAAAGTGTGAACTTAAGAAGATCCTTTTTATTTTCTTACACAAACACTAGGACATTGAGATAAGAACTGGTGGAATATTCTTATGAAAATCAGGCACAAAATCTCCTTTGGAGCCTAGGAATGTGTAGGAGAGGCTCAGCTGAACCTCACCATGGATGCCTCAGGTGTAATGCAAGGTGTAATGCAAGGTGTAATGCAGCCCTCTGTGTAGCTGGGCTGCATTAAGGGCCTGGAACTCAGAACGCCTGAACAAGGATCAGTTTTGCTGCGCTGAGGGGTTTTGCTTGCACCCTGTTCATCAGCAACAACCAGAAAAATTAAAATGCTGTGACATTTGCAAATGTGCAATTTTTCATTTTGAAATGCTTCTGTTTAGATGTTTTGCTCAGCTAATCTGAAACAGTTTGAGAGTTTTCATGCCAAGGACAGCTTTTATACAGAATTGAAGGGGCACGAGACTGGGCAGATTACGGAAAATGAGCTTTAGGAATGACCCTGCTCATAGGAATGACCCTGGCCATGACCCCACACTGCTTCAAGGTCTTATAGTGAGTAGATCACTATAAAACTTCTTTTTTTTCTCGCTTTCTAGGTCCAACTGTGCTGAAAACATCCGCAAGCACATCTTACACACGGGAAAGCATGAAGGAGTCAAAATGTACAACTGCCCCAAGTGCGATTACGGAACCAACATCCCGGTGGAGTTTCGGAATCACCTGAAGGAGCTGCACCCGGACATCGAGAATCCCGACCTGGCCTACCTGCACGCCGGTAAGCGCCGCCTGCCCCGGCCTCCCTGCACCCGCCCTTTCCCAAGCCTCCTGCTTCCACGCTTCCAAGGAGCAGGACGCCTCATGCGTGTTACTGGTCTTTGATCCGAAGAGGAAAGTGATTTTAAAATGGACCCGTTGCACTTTCCCTTGGGATGGGGAGGAGGGCAATGCACTACGTGCTGCAGTCCACTTAGGCTTCACAAGCAAAACGAAGCTTGCAGTTGTATGTGTAAGCAACCACAGTTAACGCTGAAAGATATAATAGCCGCTGAGGAGAATTTTACTGTTAGAAGAAAAAGTGTTAATTCAAGTAACATGAGAAAGGTACCAGCCTCATAGAGTAATGTAGGAGATAGTGTTTTGCAACGCTAAGACAGCAAAGGTAAGTGATCGCTTGGCTTTTAATGTGGTTAGTTCTGCTCATGTTCACAATATGATTCAAATAACTAAGAAAGAAATATGAATTTTGCTAGCACATGACCTATCTGGAGAACCTGCAGGGACTCATGTGTAAATCAACAAATAACAATACAAATAACAAAACAATAATTCAAATATTTTGTGCCATGTCCCCATATTTTAATATTTTTGGCTAGTTTCACAGCAACATTTTACATAGTGCTTTACAGAGATTGAGAACAGGCAAAAGTTTACTTTCTAAGTTGAGCTAAGAACATGACAAAAGAGGGCTACAACAAAACACAAGATTCATCAACAAGGTACGTTTGGTTTGGGAGCTTTCTATTAGATAACACATATATGGAAGTCGCTTCCAGAAAGTAAATCATAAATAATGCTTTAGAAACAGGAAATGAAAGAACAAAGTTGGGATGTTTTCTACTTAAAAAAAAAAAAAGTTTTTTTCAAAGATCATAAGATTCAGAATGAAAGACCAAAGTGTAACAGGAACATCAAAACAGTAAAATAAGATGATTTCAGTGGAAAGKTTTTAGGAGGAAAATAAATTAGGCTGGAGCTTGAATGAAACGTGATCTTAATTCGGGAGAGAGAGATAACTTAGACATCACGAGGGGGTTAGACAAGTCAGTGCAGTGGGAAAAGAAAAGCAGATGGCAAGAAAGAAGAGTTAGTGAATCCAGAGGAGAAGGAAGCTACGTGGGCCAAATCCTGCCCACAGAAAATATTCGTTCATTAAAGTTAGTACTGCCACCATTAGTGCTGTTTGGTCAGAYTTAAATCTTCTTCTGTAAGGACTTGATCTTATAAATTTGAGAATCATGGGCCTGTAAAATACCTGTCCTAGAGAGCTTTTATTTAGCAAYGTGCAGCGTCTATACTGAAGTTATTTTAAAGTCTCCTCAAATCCTTTTCTGACTACAGGCAATGTATTATTTGTACCATATATTTCTATTTGCCAAGTATTCCGCTTCATTTTGGAACCAATCATCATGTCATGTCAGCATATGGTGGATAATATCTGGATGTGCAAACAAAATGCCAGTTGGCAGAATACCAATTTCAAAATAGGTCAGAAAACTGATCACATTGCACCATATTTCTGACTAAAGTGAATGAATATTCAACTCAGAATTTATATCCAGACACTTTTGGTTATTTAGTACAATAATCCCACTTAAAATAATATMGAAAATATTCTAAATAGCATAATGTATTCTAAATATTCTAAATAGATACAGTATTTACGTATAAAAGAGGAAACCCTGGTAGAACAACTGACATTTTTCCAAAATTACAAAGTCTTTTAAGATTCCGTGTTGTTTGTTCAAGACATACATATATATATAGGTAAAGGAATTGCTCTTTGTAGCATACTCTGGTAAAAATAGTCAACTTGTTTGTCTTGGCAGTGTACAGAAAATTGTTATAAATGTGTTTTATACTAAAGATCATTATCATTTATATATATGTATATTTATGTATTCATCCTTATACTGGAGAAATCCCCTTTCACTTGAGAGGGTCCTGTACAAACATATAAGACCTAGTGAGGTCTGGCTGCCACCTAATTATTGCTAGGCTAGCTAGCCTAGAACTGGTATGCCACAAAGGTTTGTTGAAATACTGTTTGCATAATCCCATCTCCAAAAGGGCACTACTATGTTTTCCTTTCAGAAAGAAATGCTATTAAAGCAGGGCCTAGGTGGTAATTATGCATTCAGCTCAGACATTAAAATGAAGGCTTTTTCATTTCTTCTTTTCAGTCCTGCTGGACACCTGAGAGTTAAAGATTTTACAGAAGATTTTTAGAGGAATGAGGGAATAACTCCAGAGCCCTGGCTAACATTTCTTATCAAACTAAGATTTGTTCAATGTCTAGTTCATGGTTACTGATTGCAGCTTGGTCATTGCCCATACCCACAGAGAATCCACAATGTGATATAGAACTCTTGAGGATGATGGGAATATGAAAGTGTCATAAAAAATCAATTTTTTAACTAAAACTTATTTCTCTTCCTTTTGTGTCCTAATATTGCTTGGTAGCAGAGAAGCCATCCCCTCTGCTTCTTTGAGCAGAATAGAAATAGAAAACTAGTCAGAAACTCCCTTTTCTGCCTACAGTCAGATCAGAGCTGTAGGTTGCCTTCAAGGTGTGGCTGGGTATAAAATTCAAGCCTCTTCCTCATCTGTGAAATGGAGATTATCAGTTATCCTGTGCAAATTAATGCTCTTTGAAGTAGCTTGCTCTGACTATTAAAACATTGCTTTATGASCTGAACGGCAGCAAAGAGCTGGAGGAAGCTGCGTTTTTAGGGGAGATGACCTGGAAGGTGGGTGAGAAACCAGGTTACCTCCTGCATGAGTGAAGGTGATGATACTGCAATTGATAGGTGATAGCTCTTTCAATTTTGCATCTTTGAAATCCTTTATAATGTAAGGAATGTTCCAAAACAGAAATGGGCTTACTAAACAATTAGAGGAGTCTGCAATCAACATTTTCTGAGTAATAAAATTTTGATTCTAATGGGAGAATTGCAAATTCTTCTTGGTATAAATATGCAAAGCCGAAAATCTGTCACTTTATTTTAAAAATGTATACACAAGGTAGTACATTGTTAGATCATCATGATAGCCATCATTTTGGCGAGTTATTTGATAAAGATCGTTTTTTTGAGTGCTCACTGTGGGCTTGTCCATGTGGCAAGATTCATCCATAGTAAGCTAAAGAGATCTTGGGATTGATTCTTAGTTGCATTACTTTTCCAGATTTCCTGGATGTGGTTTTGTTTTTTTCCCCTGCTGCTGATGCACATTTCTGTACRTCAGTAATGAGCTGAGCTGAACCCGAAAGCTTTGGCAAGGAGGATAGATGGAAGGACCCTCCCTTCCTGTGATGTAACCTCAAAGGTTTCCATTCTCCAGCTGTTTTTCACAGACTTTTGCCTGCTTTGGAGCATCCTCACTTGGTAGTGATAATTCCAGTTTGCACTAAATGTTCTTCATTTAGGAGCTGTTATCTTATGGACATTATGATATCATTATGATGCATTATTTATGTCCAAAGAGAATAATATCTAGGGCTTGACAACCCCATTATTCCAGCAACTGCGGAGCCCATGGCATCTCCCCGTGTGGGTGGCATTCTCATGTGGGTACTAAAGCGGCAGAGAGGCTAAAAGCTCTTCAGAGGGAAGAGGAACAGTTTGCTCTTTATTATTTTCTTGCTCGTGCTGCAAGTGGGTGCTGTAGTGCTGGAGCACCGTTTGGTTCTGAGATAAGAGCTGGCAGTCACGCTGTGGGTGACTGTTTCTGAAGCCATGCGGAGCTCAAGGGCTGAGATACCCACTCCGCTTTTGTCCCGAGGGAGTGGCCTGTTTCTGCCACCATTTCCCTGTCTCTCCTCATTCTGGGCCTGGCGCTCCTGACTGCGCTGGCTCGGATGCTGACAGATCTTGCACTGTTTTTGAACTCGGTTATCAGTAGATCCTCCATGATTCTTAAATAGGATGGGCGGTTGGAAGCAAGGTAACAGCGAAGTTTTAGTCTRTGTCATTATTTATGTGCACTGGTCAGAGTGAAGAGGCTCTCCRAGCCTGAGTGTTGCTGCAGGAAGTCAGCAGCATCCATTTTTTTGCTGTGCACTAATCTGTGGTGCAGATCTTCATCTGTGTGTGAATTTCCCCATGTGCAAAACCAGTAAAATGTCTCTACAACTCAAGGCAAAAATCATTTGCTTACAAACCATTTCACAACAGTCTGGTATTTGATTAAGGAACTGCGTAAGACTTTCAACAGAAAGTGGTGAGGCACTGTATAACACAGGAGACTCAGGAGAGTCCTGAACTCTCACTTGGAGCTCGCTCCTTTAGGAAAAGAAGAAGGAAAATGAGGGAAGGCAGAACAAGGTAAYCACGCTATTTGGCAAGGGCACAGGCCCTCCTCCTTTAGAAGGGGCCCGGTGCCGCTGGGAGCGCCTGCCSCACTGGGCCCTGCGGGGTGACGCAGCGACGCCGTCCTCCTCACTTCTGTAGGTCCGGGAGCACTGGGAGCGTGAGCTGCTTCCCAGCTCCACGGACACCTCCCGGGAGCGCCGGGCAGGAGGGCTCCGTGTGCTCCGTGGAAGTGGAGGTGCCTCCTTATTAAGCCAGGGTGCCCCCTGGGGCYGGGCCCGCCGGGCACGGATGGCGCCGGTTGTGCCCCGCGGCTGGCGGCGCCTCACGAGGCGYGGCCGAGTTCATGGCCAGGACCGTCGGCAGCGGGTGGGTGGTCACAGGGTGCGAGCGGCGTCGCACGCCAGGGAGAAGATACCGCGGCGAGCAACTCTCAGGCCAGCTGAGCAAAGCCTGGGAAAAATCAGCTACGGAAAGAGTAGTAGTGAGACAAGCTGCAGTGAGAAATAAGGTGTGAATGTTTAAATGTGAGGTCGGTTGAGCACTGACATCCATGACCAGAGGAAACTGTTCCCGCTGTATTCCTTGGAGACTCCAGAAGACTGGAYGTCTTTCTGGAAGATAGGTTTTAGGAGGCCTCAAGGTTGCTGGGCTCCCTGCAAAACTAATTAAAGGAAATTTAAAGGAC